GGTGAATATTTTGAAAAGGAATTTATTTCAGGTACCGTTTTGAAATTAACAGTGTAAGGAGATTCTAAATAAGATTTTGTAGTAATTAAACGACAATATTCTCTTCAAATGGACTGGTGAAATTTTGCTTTAATTGAGTGGATCTGGGAACCATAAATAATGGAAATTAAATCTCCATAAAACAAGTGATCCTTGAACCTTAAAGTATATCTTTTAACTTGAATTAAGAAGATAATGAAATTAAATCATGAGAAAAGACTTTGTTAGCCAAGCTTTCAAAACACTTAAGAGGAAAAATGTCTAAAATTATATTGCTTCAATAAATTTTCATTGAAAAAAAAGATTAAAATATTATTAAAAAAAGACTAAAATAATCTATTTTTAAAATAGAAATGAATTTGTTTTGATCTTTCCTTTTTGCTATTTTGACTAGACAGAAAAGAGACATCTCAGGGGGTAGAGGCCAACCCTTGCTGCTCCAAGGACATCAGATCATCAGACTTTAGATCCAAGTATGCTCTTTCATGCAAATGATCTGTGCCCCTGATCTCTTGATCAAACTTAGTTGGCAGCTTGAAGAATTGTACCACGCGATCATATCTACAGTAATATATGCAATCGAAGGAGAGAGGGAGTAGTTGTGCGGCACAGAGAGAAGGAGAAAAGAGGTTGCAAGCCACATATATTGCCACCAAGAAGGAAGAAAAGAAGAGGAGGGCTCCCAAGGAGAGGAGAAAAAACTTAATTCAAAGAGATAGTCTAATCTAACCCTAACGGCAGTGAAACCTTCTGCTAGGCTACTAGATTAGATACGCATAAGCAGCCTTTTCTAAAAATTTTATCCTCTTTGCCCCACAAGACGAAGTTATACTAATACTCATGAATTCTAAAAATTTGAAGATTTTTCATTAGGAACCAATTAAAATATTTTTTGATAAAAATTTTTCAAAAAAAAAATGGAAAAGATATTTTCCACAAGCAAAGGTACCATAATTCATATGGTCATGATGATTAGCATGGCCCCGCACCTATGAGAAGAACCTAGTTTAAGAAATTGAAGCAATTTGGGTCAAAACCTGTCATTAGACTAATTAGACTAACAATTCTTTGGGTTAAAATCCATGGGGTCTAAAAAATTTTTGTTGTTAGTAGTGGTTAGCTTTTACATTTATATACCAATCACACTCAGCATTCCATCCTGATGTGGGATTCAAGGCAAATTTGTTGGTTGGCAAACACCAAAATAGATTTAATTTCTTATTGGGCACTAAATGGCGCATCCTTCAATTCAATACACTACATAATATACTCATTCAAAAATCATTATTTCTTAATTTGAAATTAAACGAAAACAAACTTAAAGTTGCAACATACATTATGCAAGAACTGATTAAATTAACTATACTTATATTATATTTTAATGACTGAACCAGACAAGTGTTAAAAGGTGTATTAAACTGAAGAGTGTACCAATTATTTTCCTTTCTTATTACCTGAAAAAAAACTTTATTCTATCTGCCCCATAATTTGGTGTATAAAGAGCTATATATGTTTTTTTGGCCTTTGTAAAGAGCTATATATCTCATCTACTTTTTTTCTTGTTGGAGCTTCGTGGTTAGAAAACAAATCATTGGTTTCAAGGTGTGTTGCAATTGCTACTTTCCTTTAGGCTATTTTGGCCCCACCATTTTGACATGCAAAGGGGTTAACTGAAAATGCTTGTAAGGAACAATGAAGCCTATTGGTTTTGTCAACCTATTGATTACGCCTTGCACTGACAAAACCAACCACTAAATCTCACTTCTTCAAGTAGTAAAACTATTACTTTCATACAAGAATTTCTGCAGCAATCATTGCACAAAGGATGATTGTTTTATATTGAAAAACAACCAGATGTATATATTATCCAAATTGGAATCACTATGTTAAGAGGATGAAGACAAGGCTTTTATAGTCTATAGGTGTTTGTTGATAAAAGACATATCTTTACAAACATATTTCTTCCATTTAAAGAGTTTTAACATGAAAAAACACCTTTTCATTTATGCCCTTTCCCAACCATTGCTTCTTTTCCTCTATTTTGAAACTTTCCCCAACATTTCTTTGATGTTTTTATGATTCCATTTATGATAAAAAGGGATCCATGATAGCCTAAATAGGATGGTAAAGAGGATGATAAAGAGGATATACTAGCGTTAGCATTATATTAAGTAAAAGCAGATATCATCAATGGCGTATCTGCTCCATGATATTATAACTACTGATAACAATTCAAATATAGGTCAATAGTTTGAAAAGGAATTTGATTCATGTACCTTTTTGAAATCAACAGTGTAAGGAATTTTCTAAAAGAGATTTGGTAATAATTAAACAACAACATTCTCTTCAAATGGAATAGTAAAATATATTTTGCTGTAATTGAGTGGATCTGGGAACCATAATGGAAGTTAAATCTTCATAAAACAAGTGATTCTAGAACTTAAAGCATATCTTTTAACTTGAACAAAGAAGATAATGAAATTAAATCAAGATAAAGGGTTTGTCTGCTGGGCTTTCAAAAAGATGAAGAGAAAAAATGCTCAAAATTATATCATTTTAATAAATTCTCATTAAAAAAGATTAAAAAAATAAAATGACTTTGTTTTGGTTTTATCTCATGATACTTTTATAAAATGGGGTTTTAGGTTATTTTTTCCTCTAATTTTTTGGAGGTCCACCTGATAAATACTAACCTCTTAAATCATTTTGCTTCTTTTTATTTTATTCTTTGAGTAACTAAAACAATTAAAATGGAGGAGTGTGAGAATATGCAATTTGAAGGGTTTGAGATATCTATTGGGTGGGTGGGGCAAAACACCACTTAGAATATTTAAAAAATAACCAATTTGAACCAATTAAAGTTTTAAGAGGCAGAGAACTTTACCAATGAAAGATTTATGCTCTATTCACCATACAAAATAAATAAACATACGTTAGCCTTCTTGATTTCCAAGCATTTAGTTCATTTTCAAGCATATCCGGATTCAACACCTGGGTGTGCACACATCATATAAAAAAAAAAAAATGCCCATCACCCGGTCCAATTTTTTTTTTTTATGTGGGGGGTGCACACCCGAGTGTTGGATCCGGGTGTGCACCAATCATTGTCCTTTTGGATAACATATAATAGACATCCATGAAGCATTAATGGACAGCTTAAAATGGCCTAGTTTCAATCTGATTTCTTTTAAAAACTTACCATGGCAAGAAACAACTATGATA